GCTTGCCCCACCAGAGGGGAGGTCTGGAGGGAGAGAAGGTCCCGGGCAGCCGTCCTGGGGTCCCAACATTGCCGCGGTCATCAGCAGGCATACTTTGCAGCGAGGAAAGATCCTGAGGACGTGAGAGACTCAGGGTCGTGCAGCTCGGGAGTGCTGAGCAGGGCCGTCACGAGAGCCACCCCATCCGCTTTTTACTGCGGCCCTTCCTGCGGGCGACGTGGTTAGGGAAACTCCAGGCGCCGGGGAGCTGAGTGTGGGACTCGCGGCTTTCCAGGGGGCGCGAGCCTACGCCTGTGCCCCCGTGACCGCCAGGGGGCGCTACGCCGCCGAAGAAGCGGGCGCCGCCCGGGGGGTAAAAGGCGGGGGGAGCCGAGTGGCGGGGCAATGTGGCGACCGGTGAGACCCCGCGGGTGCTCCAGGGAGCTTCAGGGCCCGAGACCCCGCTCCGTAGGACCCCCACACCCTGCACCCTAAGGACCCTGAGATCCCGGCCATCAGGGCCCGAGAGCCCGTTCCCCAGGACCCCCGACCCTGCATGCCCCAGGGACACTCCATGCTCCCAGGGCCCTGGCCCTTGGGACCCCCAAGCTCCCCTTATATCCCCAAGACCCCACATGCTCCCTCAGACTCCCTCCTCGGAGCCCTGAAATGCCGCGGGATGCAGATCCCCTGTCTAGCCTCCAGCGCTCAGGTCTCTTGTAGGCGTCCCTAACAGCTCTGAGACCTCCCTCTTCCCAGGCCCCTCTGACCCCAGCCCCGTGCCCAAGCCCCGGGTACAGCCCGGCACCCCTAGAGTCCTGGCCAGTGGAGCCTGGTCTCCCCTCCTGGCCAGGGCGTCCCTCCCGTGGAGACACCTGGTCCGGGCTGCTCTCCCGCGTCTGGCTGTGGCCCACGCTGCTCTGCTCGGCCTCCGAGCTCTCTGTCCCCTCGCACCGTCTCCCTGCCCGAGGTGAGCGGACTCTGGGGTGTGGCCTTTGCCAACAGCTCTGCGGGGAGTGGAGATAGGTCCCCAGCGGTCAAGCTCCTACCAGCACCTGCTGTGAGCTGCGCTCAGCGAGGCCAGTGGCCTGACCAGTGTGGCTCCCACAGGCCATCTGCCAGGCAGGGTCGCCTGAGGGTCAGCGAAGACCCTGGCCTGGCCCTTGGGTAGTGCCTGACAGTGGACAGAGCTTCACACCAGGGCGCTTGTCCTGCAGGCAGCCTAGGGGCTGGACGGGCAGGGTGGAGCTTCTGGTCTAGCTGCTCCTGGCTGGCAGCCTTCCGGTTCAGGCTGGTGTGGAGGGTCGCACATCCTTGGAGGAGGACAGGGCATTGATGTCACCAGGCCCACAGCCCGGCCCAGGTTCCCAGTCTGTTACTTCCCAGCCACGGGACAGTTCTGTGCCTCAGCTGCCCTGGCTGAGGTGCCCATGTAGGGTCCCCAGGGTCTGGTCACCTGTCAATGGCCGCTGCCTGTCTTGCCCTGGGCTCTGCAGTTGGCTTCTCACCGTTGTGGGTGGCCTGTGTGGGCCACGGCTCGTCCTCTGTCTCACCTGCAGGAACCCAGGCAAGCCGGCCTGTACCTGAGCTGAGCACGCATGTGCTCACAGTACACGCTCCAGCTGGGCTCACGTGCCGGACTGCCGCTGCTCAGAGCTCCTGGCTGCCACTCTGGGTAGTCAGCCTGGAAAGGACCCCGTGGTGCCTGAGTCCGGCCAGGCACCTCTGCATGCGTCCGGCTAGGATCAGTGCGCAGGAGGCTGAGTCCCACAAGCCTGCCTGTGCTGTTCGCGTCCCAGCTCCAGCAGCTGGAGAAGCATGCTGGAGTGGGGGCCTAAAATCTCCAGGGGGCAGTGGAGATGGTACTGCAGCATGGCCATCCCCCGGGGTGCCTGCTTATACTCTCTCTGGTGAATACTCACACCCTCTGCTGAATAAAATAAACAAAATGTTATTTAAAAAAAAAAAAAGGGGGGGGGGGGGGGGGGAAATGGGGCCTTCCTTAGCATATTGGAAACCCTGAAGAAATCAGCTTGATATAACAGCTTGCTTGCTTGCTTGCTTGCTTTCTTTTTTTAAAAAATAATTATTTACTTAACTTTTTATTTACTCATTTATTTATCTTAATTTGACCAGAGTGAGACAGAGAGAGAGAAAGTGGGAAAGCAAGCCACCAGGTCTGGGACTTGAACCGTGGTTGGCCATGTGGGAGTATCCAGCACCTTAATCACACCACTTGCTGGCCCTGAGGCTTGCTTTCTCACTTTCTCTTTCTCTCTCTCTCTCTGGTCAAACTAAAAATAATAATTATAATAACAAATAAAATAAAAATAAATAAATCTTATAAAAAGCAGGGTGCTGGCAGGTGGCGTGTCTTGCTTCCTGTCTCTGTCTCTCTGGCGAGTGCATGTGCTCTACAGTAAATCTCTCTAAAAAAGAATAATAATTTTGTTTTTAAATTATTTTATTTAACTTTATTTATTTTTAAATTTGACCAGAGATGGGGGGAGAGAGAGAGAGAAAGTGAGAAAGAAAGCTGCCGGGTCTGAGACTCGAACCACAGTCAGCCATGTAGGAGATCAGCACCATGCCACTTGCTGGCCCCAAGAATCATTTTATTTTAACTTTATTTATTATTATTATTTTCGAATTTGACCAGTGCGAGAGAGGGAAAATGAGAAAGCCACCAGGTCTGGGACTAGAACCGTGGTTGGCCATGTGGGAGTCCAGCGTCCACCAGCGGGCCCACGGGGAGCTATTTCATCCTGTTCAAGCTGGAAGGTTTTGGGAGTGAGGGACCTGCTGGGCAGTGGTGGGCCAGCACCACCCTGTGGCTGCGGAGTGTAGTGAGGAGCTGGCTGGAGGCTTGGACTCGGACTGCAGGCCTCTCTGGGCCCATTAGGAGGTTTAGGTTGGGCATGGTGTGGCATGAATTGCCCAGACTTGGCTCTGGGGAGCCCGGCTGCAGAACTGGCACCACCTGGCTCTCCTATGTGGGGGCGATCTAGGGAGAGCAGTCGGAGAGCACGGGGCACCCCATACTGGGAAGAGCCGGGCCCTGCTGGCCCCAGGGACCCTGCCGCGCTCTGCAGTGTCAGCACGAGTTGTGCCAAGGCCGTTTGTCCACAGGGCCGCTGCCATCTTGGGTCCTGCCTATTGCTTGGCAAGGGCCCCGTCCTGGGCACGCAGGGTCTGGTTAGTCCTGGCTTTGCCGGTGGCCTCAGCTGCTGGCCGTCTGCAGAGCAGATAGTGGTCCTGGTAAAGCACAGGGGTTTCTGAGGGCCTAGTCCTGGGTCTGGGCAGACGCGGGCTAAGTGTCACTAATCTTAGAGGACAGCAGGGCGCACTGGGGGGCGGGCAGCCATGCGAGCCAGGGTGGGCAGAGGCTGCAGCCGGGCCAGTAGAGGGTCTTCCCACCCAGCACTCTGGCAGGGCTTGGGCTGCGGGTGCTGTGAGCTCATTCGGGCTCAGCCTTCTCTGCTGTGGACGTGCTGTTTAGTCCACAGCAGCGTGCACACGGGAAGCCTCCGGCAGGCCTCATCTCTTCACAGACCCTCCAGCCCTCAGGGTCCTGAGGTCGCACACGGGCCCATGTGCTCCAGGCCAGCCAGACTGGGGTCTGAGCCCACGGCTGGCCGTGCAGCACCAGCGCGGCTGAGCGCCTGCATCCTCTGTCTTGGTGGCTTCCTCCCTTCCTTCCTCCTGTGACTTTTGCCGTAGGGTATGTGCGCTCTTCAGAGAGAGACAGGGAAAGACAGAGAGAGGGAAAGTGAGGAGTCACCCCCTGGGGATGGCCATGCTGCACTCCCTTCTCCTCCGTTCTCGTAGGACTTAGGGCACGCACGCACACGTACCTGCCGCTGGTCTGGGACTCGAACTGCCGAGTCAGCCGTGTGGGATCCAGCACCTTCACCTCTGTGCCACCTGCTGGCCTGGTTGCTGCCTTCTTCGTTTCTTCCTTTCATGAGAGATGGAGAAGGCACCCCGGAGGGTGCACCACGGCGGCTCACGCCCACACTCACACACAGCCCAGGGAGGTCCTGGTGGGGCCCAGAGCCTTTACAGATGCCACGCCACTCCTGGCCCTGTTGTCACTTTCTAAAGAGAGCACAGAGGACAAGGTCTGGCCACTGCATGCTGAGCTCTCCCCGCTCCGGCCTCCCAGCCCTCCTGCCTGCACGCTGGCCGCCGCCTCCCTTGGGAGCCGCTGCATGTGCTGTGGTGGTGAGTCTGGCTTCGCAGGTGCTGGGAATGGTCTCTGCCCTGTCCTGGCCACACAACCCTGTGTCCGCCCGCAGGGTGGTGGCTGGGGGAGGTGGGAGGAGCTGGGGTCCTGGGACAGGACCCTGCCATTGGCACCCTGCCTCCTGCAGCCTGAGTGTGCCCTGCTGCGCTGAGGTCTTCGCGTGGGTCAGGTCCCCTGGCTCATAGTCTGCACAGTGACAGTGACAGAGTGGATGGTCAGGACTGCACGGTGAGCCTTGAGACCAGAGTCCCGCCCAGACCCCAGCCTCCCTCTGCCTGTGGAGGGGTCGAGATGCCTGGGAGTGAGTGACCTGGGGCAGAATTGGCCACACTTTCCAAACGCCACCTCCCTGGCTATGCCTTGCAGTACTACAGCAGGTGTTTCAGCTCGTTGAAAAAAGCACTTCACGAGAGAGCTGCACCTAGATGCATCCCTGGGTCCTCACTCCATGGTCTCCCCTCTCGACCTGCCTGGGAGGCCCGGACTGAAAGCCAGGACCTCTCCAGGTGTCAGGGCGTGCCTCCCACCCCCGGCTTGCCCTCGCTGCTGTCACAGACACGGCTGAAGACAGACGGGAGGGCAGCGTGTGGGCCGCAGTGGCCTGCGCCCAGTTCTACCCTGGTTGTCTGCGCCCTGTTTCTGCTCGTATTTGAAAACGTTTCTGTAGGAACACGGACTTTCTCTTCTGTAACCACAGCACCTTTCTGTGCCTGAAAATATGGACAGTCCCTAGTCTGTTGTCCATACTCAGGTCTCCCGTTACCCTCGAACCGTTTTGGAGGTTTTCTCCCCAAACCCCTGGTCTCCAGATCTTCCGTGGTCGCCCCCGTCAGGGCCGTGGAGGGTATTAGGTGTGGCCGGCAGAGAGCCAGGCTGCTGCTCGGACCTGCCTGGGGGCTTCAGGGTGACGTGGCCAGGCACTTGGGATGCAATCGGGTGGTGGCCACTCGGTGGGCCTACGGCCTGGTGGGGAGGACAAAGCCGTGACCCTGTGCTGCTGGGTCATGCACTCGGAGTGCTCTGGACTGCTTCGTTCAGCCTGCGTCCTGGTGTCACGAGGCTGTGGGCTGCGGGTGGCGGGAGCTGGGGCCAGATGAGGTGGGCGCCTGGTCTCAGCGAGTCTTGCGTGCCGGCCCTGGGCAGTGGGTAGGGTGGCTGTCCTCTGGGCTTCTGACTGAGCTCAGGGCACCAAGAGGGCTGCTGGCCTCGCCCCCGCCTGCTCAGGCTGCCCCCCTTGCTGGGACTTCGCCGGAGAGAGAGCCGTGGCCTTGCTGAGCAGAGCCCTCTGTCCTGGGACTGCAGGTCACGGCCCTCCTCCGGCTCATGCCTCTCGCCGTCCTTGACGCTGTCTGGGCGCACAGCTGCAGACTGGGGCCTTCGGGGCCCAGTTCAGTGACGTCCATGTGGGGCTGGGACCTGCTGCCACGGGGTCCTCTTCCCTGAGCACTGACTTGGGGTTTGCAGCTGGGCCGGGGAGCTGGTGGCTGAGCAGGGATCAGGGACCAGGCCCGAGCACCGTCGCCCCGGGGGCTTCGTGGCTGCGGCACTCCCTCCATTCTGCTCCTGGCGCTGGCAGTGGCCTGGACAGATGCCCTCAGGGCCACCTGGGTGACTCCAGTTCCCCCTGCTGTCAGCGGTGCCTGCACACGGGCCCTGCAGGGACCCCCGAACTGGGCACCTCCTCGTACACTCTCCCAGCACACAGACCACCCTTTGTGGGCACGCGTCGGCAGCCGGACCCCCCTTGGGGGGCACGGGGCGGCAGCCGCTGCCTCAGGAAGCAGTGACAGGTCTGGGCATCGCCGGTGCTAGGCGGGGAGGGTGGATACCACCAGACCAGGTCGAGCTGCAGGCTGCCGCAGCATCAGAGGTCCTCAGCCGAGGCCCGGCTTTGCCACCTCCTCCCTTCTCCCCCGAGCCATGGTCTGTGGCCCCGTCCCTGCCATCTGAGGGTGCTGGGGCTCTGGGCTGGGCCCGCCTGCCTCACGCTAGCCTCTCCTTGCAGCTGCAGCTGTGCCGCGCCCACCCCGCCCTGCTGCAGGGCACATGCAAGCCCCGGCCTGCCCTGGCCTTGCTCTTCAGAAGTAGCACCAGGGCCCCACCCATGAGGTAAGCCGCCCTCCACGGCTCTCACAGGGCGCCCCTCAGTGCCAAGACAGGGCGCTGGCCGCTCCGTCCAAGCCCTGGTTCCTGACCATGAGGGGGGCCCTGCAGGGCTGAATCCTCTGGGATGGGACCCCCCCGCCCCGGGAGACAGGAGCAGAAGGCGTCAGGCTGCCCACCCGCTCTGCAGGGCCAGACTGGGCGGGGGGAGACGAGGTCGGAGGGCTGCTGCAGGTGGGGTGGCAGAGCCAGGTCACCCGGAGTGTGGTGGGAGGTTCTGGGCAGGAGAGGCTGGTCTGAGGCCTCGGGCTGGACAGCAGTGGGCTGCAGGGAGGCCGGGTGCTCCCTGGCCAAGTGTGCACTGAGATGGCCCTGGGGCCGTGGGCGCCCTCCCGGGTCCTGGAAGGCGTGCTGCAGGCGGACTCCAGATCCGAGTCTGCACCGGGCTGGCCCTGCCCGGCACGCCTTGGGCCCAGCCGTCGCTGTGTGCTGCTCTGCTCAGTCTGGCCTCACGGGCTTCAGGACGTGCTGGGCTGAGTCCGACTCAGTGCCCAAACGGCCCGTTGCTGAGGGGCGGTGGCTGGACCTGCTGTGAGTCACCCCCAGGGCTGAGCAGACGCTGGCCTAGGGTCACTGGTACCCTGCTAAGGGGGCCTGGGCGGGGGACCACGCCCCTGAAGGCCAGGCAGGAGCAGAGCAGCCCTGGGGTGGCGCTGTGCGGCCCAGCCCCCCTCCGTGCCTCTGCCCCTCAGGTCCTCAAGGCCACTGTGGAAGAAGGCGCTGGCCGTCACAGTGCTGGGGGGGCCTCTGTTCCTTGGACTCCGCTACTTCATGGCAGAGGCCCGGGACAGGCGGAAGACGCGGCTTCTGGTGGAGGGCATCGGGCGCTTTGGCAGGTAGGGAGGCCGGAAACCTTTACTGGGGGGGCGGGCGCGGCCAGGCCTGTGTGCTGTGGTATAGACGGGCATCAGTGAGGCTCCCCACCATGGACGTGGCCTCCACGGGCCTTTCCCAGTCAGATGCCACCCCCTCCAGAGCAGATCTGGGAAAGCCTACTCCGATAGGCCTCCCCTCGCCCCCGGACAGGGAGGTCTAAGCCTCTGACCGCGTGGGGCCCTTGCCACGCCTTCACCTCTGCCTGCAAAATAGGGCCCAGGAGACCTCCTGACGAGCACCAGCCGGCGTTTCTGCAGCCCAGAGTACTGTCACCTCACCCCTGGCCCCGGGGTCCTGCTGCCTCCCCAGGCCTGGCAGTCTTAGAGGCTCACAGTGCTGAGGGCCCCAGCACTTTCTGGGGATGGGACGTCACTATGGAGGCCGTGGCCAGTTCTAGGGCTCGAATTATGGTTGGCCATGGGAGGGTCCATAGCCCCAAGCAGCATGCCACCTGCCGGCCTGTAGATGTAACTTAACCCATCTATGGGGGCAGTAGGTAGTGTAACTTAAGGTGCTGGATTCTCACGTGGCTGATCGTGGTTTGAGTACTGGACTGGGCGGCCTAAAAATCACATCAGCTACGTATGTGTGCGTGCCCAAACCCCGAGGAGGGAGAAGGGATGGCGGTGCGGCCACTCCTCCGGGTCATCTCTCTCTTCCTCTCTTGCCTGTCTGGTGAGTATACACACTCTGCAGCAAAAATTTTGCTAAAAACAGACAAACAAGGGCCAGGGGATGATACAGCAGTTGCACTGCTGGGCCCCACTGTGGACTCCAACCACAGTTCGAGTCCTGGATCTGGTGGCTTGAAAATCACACCAGGTGTGTGTGCGTGTGTGCCCAAGATCCTGGGAGGAGAACGGAGGAGGGACTGTGGCGTGGCTGTCCCCCCGGGGGTGGTACCTCACTCTCGTACTGCCTCCCTCCCAGCAAGGGCATATACCCTAAGACAAAAACCTCTCAAACCACCCCCCCAGGGACCCCACAAACAAAAAATCTGTGGGGCCAGCAGATGGCGTGAGGGTTACATCCCTGGACTCCCACATGGCTGACTACAGTTCAAGTCTCAGACCTGGTGGCTTGAAACTCGGACTGAGCGCGTGTGCATGTGTGCTCAAAATCCTGAGAGGAAAACGGAGAGGGTTGTGGCATGGCCTTCCCCGGGAGGTGATCTCTCACTCCGCCCCCCGCCATTTCCCCAGCGAATGCATGTGCCATATGGCAAAGTCCTTAAAACACAATCTCAGAATCTGTGGACCTAGCTCTCTTCCTGTGTGTTCTGGCGTACTCTTCGATGTCCGCGCGCAGTGCAGGGAGCCGGTTTTACCGACACACTCACCAGAAGCGGTGTGCGTGCCTGCAGCCCGGGCCGGCGGCGCCCCCTCCCCTGAGAACACTGCACGCGTGTCAGGGCCTGTTGTGTGCTGCCAGGTGCCCTTGGAGTGTCTTTCCTGCCGGAGCAGCCAGTCCAGGGCCACAGCATTCCTGAGTGGTCACCTCTGGCCTCTCGTGGCCTGAAAAGTCCCTCTGCATTGTCTTGGCCGTCATGACCAGGGTTGGCCAGACTCGAGGGCGACGACACAGTCCCCTAGCCCATCTCGCTGCCCGGGCCTCTGATGCCGTGACCACCCTCACCGGCTGGCTGTACTCCGGGGTCCCTTCGGATGGCCTTGGTTGTTTTGTTTACCCATCTGTTGTTCTGTGAGAGATAGCACTCCCGCAGGGCCGCAGTGCTGTGCTGGCCCCAGCTCCAGCTGGTCACGGGGCCCAGCGTGCCGGGGCACTAGGGGCGGCCTGCAGACTGGGTCTGCCTTGCAGCGTGGGGCTCCCCGTGCCACTGTCAGGCTAGGCCCCCACTGTCATGGGCTGTACAATGACCCCAAGCTCAGCAGGGCGCAGTGTGCACGTAACGGCCACGTGACAGCCACAGGCCATGGCAGAGCTGTGAGAGAGGGCGAGGAAGGGTGCCCTCCGACGCCTGCCCGTCCCTGCGCAGCCTGCATGGAGCAGGGCCAACCGAAGCTCGCCTGGCTTGGGGGTCTAGGCTTCAGGAGGGGGGCACAGCTGGCCATGTGATGGGCTGTGGCTAATCTGCCCTCCCTGCAGCCCCGAGCCCTGCCCTGTGGCTGGCCTTGCTGGGCACCTGCAGGCCATGAGCGGCAGACACCCCTGTAACCGCCGAGGTCCAAGGACTTTGGGGGGGGGGCCCAAAGCCAGACCGAAGGGACTCCCTCTAGTCGGATTGGGAGCAGGTTCAGCAACAGGATGGTAATGAAGGGAAAGGTGGCAGCACGCGAAGGGGGATACCTGCCTGAGTCCACACCAGTGAGCACTCCACGGGCAGAGGGCGGAGACGGCAGACTGCTTTTTCGTAGAGGTTTTTGTCTTAGTGCACGTGAGCTTGCCGGGGGGAGAAAGGGAGAGATGGTGAGAGAGAGTGAGAAATCTCCCTGGGGGGATCACCACTCCACAATCCTTTTTCCGCCATCCTCCTTCTGGGATCTTGGGCACACATGCACCCAGCGTGATTTTGAAGCCACCAGGTCTGTGCCTCGAACCGCCTGCGCTCTCAGCCATGTGGGAGTCCAGTGATATAACTGCTACATCATCTGTTGGCCCCAGGAAGATAGACCGTTCTTTTTTTTTTTGGGGGGGAGGGTTTTGCTATAGGGGGCGTGCACTCGCCAGCCAGACAGAGAGAGACAGAAAGCGAGAAATCATCCCCAAGGGGGGATTGTCACGCCACAATCCCTTCTCCTCCATTCTCCTCTCGGGATTTTGGGCACGCACGCACACGCACCCGGCATGAGTTTAAGCCACTGGGTCCAGGACTCGAACCGCGGTCAACTACGTGGGAGTCCAGCAACATAGCCATTACACTAACTGCTGGTTCCTGATAGACCGTTCTTTATGGAATGCTGCAATGACTTGGGAGAACAACTGAGCCTAGAAAGACTACCCCTTGGGGACCAGCAGTTGATGTAATGGCTATGTCGCTGGACTCCCATGTAGTTGACCATGGTTTGAGTCCTGGATCTGGTGGCTTAAACTCACGCCGGGCGCGTGTGCGTGCATGCCCAAGATCCCGAGAGGAGAATGGAGGAGAAGGGATTGCAGCGTGGCCATCCTCCCTGGGGGTGATTTCTTGCTTTCTGTCTCTCTGTCTCTGCCTTTCTGGCGAGTGCACGCGCCCTATAGCAAAACCCTGTCAAAAGAAAGAAAAACACCCCTTGGCCACCGTCTTCACAGTAACAAGTTCACTCCGCGAGCATGGACAACGTGGTGCTGACGTGGGGACAGGAGTGAGTGCACGCACACCAGTCACGAGTGATTGCGGACCAGCGATTGCATGGAAACCGCGCACCTGCCCATGTCTGAGATGCCCCTGCTAGGGGCCCGCCAGCGACCTCATGGGCTGTGGACATTCGGTTTCTGCTGAAGTAAGCGGCCTGCAGCAGGCAGGGCAGGCCATGTCCAACACAGCTGTCCCCAGCTGGCCTGCAGTCACCCGGTGCTGTGTCGTAAGGAGTCAGCTTTGCCCAGAGAGGGCCGGCTTTAGGGCTCAGTACTGCCTTGGTGACAGGAGTGTCTGCCATTTGTGGGTGGCCTGTGGGATCCAACTGGCCAGAACTGCCAGGCCACGGGGCTGGCCCCTCTGCTATCACCAGCGTTTCTGTGAAAAGTTCAAGCACGGCAGAGTTGAATCCCGCCCGGGCTCCCCACCAGCATGTCTGAGCCGCTCCGAGCCTCTGTGCCCCCGCCGGCCCTGGAGTGTGCATGGAGACGGATCCCGTGCCCACGGTGCTCCCAGCCCAGTCAGGAGGCGTCTGCGGCAGCTCCGCTCCTGTCACAGATGTTGCCCTCGCCCCTCTCCCTGTATCTGTGACCCCCCAGCAGGGATCTGCTCCCCTTGTCCCACCACAGTACATTTCTGGTTCAGTAGCCAAGTGTGACCGTCCTGTCTGTGAAGACGCCTGCCTCTCTGGACCCTGTGCAGGGGGGCCCTGGACTGGACCCTTCAGAAAGGGAGAAGGCCGCCCTGCTGTGGCCAAAGCCACCCCCTCGTGCATGCTGTGCGGGCCTTGGTCCTGTGCAGGCTCTGGGAGTCTCCCCACACAGCCACAGGGTGACTGCACATGGCAGCTGCTCTGTGCCGTGGTGTGCTCCTGGCTACTCCCCCGCAGCTCCCGGGTTCTCACCCACGGCCCACACGGAGCTAAGACTGTCCTGAGTGTCACTGTACAGACTGCGCACCGCACTCAGGGCCTTCAGTTCCAGCAGCAAACCTTGCAGGCTGGCCTCTGAGGTACCCTGGGACTTTGGTGCCCCTGCCCCATAGGTAGGCAGCGCAGGGCAGCAGCCTGCTTCGTCCTCTGCCCCCTCCCCGGGCGGCTGCAGGCTGCCAGACTAAGGCCTTGCCTCTGGGCCAGGCCTGCTGCAGAGCTGCACGCACCGGTCCCCATGCAACTCCTGCTCTGGAGGACGCCAGAGGGCCTCAGTGCCCACAGCTGACATGCGTGGGGCCAGCTCTGCCCAGGGTACATCCAGAAACTGGACCCAACCCCAACCAGGTGCCGTGGCTCTTGAGGGGACTCAGGAGCAGAGACAGAGCCGACAAAGGCGCCGCGTGTGGGCTTCACCCAGGAGGCCAGATAGCACACCTGGCCTGCGAGCTTCCAGACCGACTGGGGCCTCAGAGCCTTCCCTCCCTGCCATGCCTGGTTGACCCCCTGAGTTCCACACTCCTTCACTGAGACCCTGTCAGTCCTCCCTCTCAGGGACCCCAGGGCGCAGGTGACCCTGACCTCTGGCGGCATTCATCCTTGGAGACGCTCGACTGCCCCGTCTGTGCCCGCTCTAGTGCTGCCCGCACCCCCTCCTCTCTCGACTGCCCCGTCTGTGCCCGCTCTAGTGCTGCCCGCACCCCCTCCTCTCTCGACTGCCCCGTCTGTGCCCGCTCTAGTGCTGCCCGCACCCCCTCCTCTCCAGCAGATGCTGCCTTACCCCGTCCCCCGGACACCCCAGGGGTCGTAGATGGGGAGGGGGGCTGATGGTCACGGGCTGCAGGATGTCTGCGCGTCCCTCCCGGGTGTCCTCGGCCGCCCCCCTCCCTCGCACCCGCTCGACTGCCCCGTCTGTGCCCGCTCTAGTGCTGCCCGCACCCCCTCCTCTCTCGACTGCCCCGTCTGTGCCCGCTCTAGTGCTGCCCGCACCCCCTCCTCTCCAGCAGATGCTGCCTTACCCCGTCCCCCGGACACCCCAGGTGTCGTAGATGGGGAGGGGGGCTGATGGACACAGGCTGCAGGGTCTCTGCGAGTGCCACCCGGGTGTCCCCTGCACGCTGAAGACTCGGGTGGGCAGGGGTGAGGCCTGTCAGTGAGGGCTCAGCAGGGGCCCAAGTGCCAGACGGAGCCCGCCCCTGCTTGCTGTGGGCTGAGGGCCCCCTGTGCCCACAGGTCCCTGAGGGTCGGCATACAGATCTCCCTGGACTACTGGTGGTGCGCGAATGTCACCCTGCGCGGGGTGGAAGAGGTTTGTCCCGCCCTGGGCGGGGGGGTGGGCAGGGCACAGAGGTGCTGCCTGCCCCACTCCTCCCCCTGTGTCTGTGGTCAGAACAGCCCGGGGTACCTAGAGGCGATGTCGGCGTGTCACCAGCGGGCGGCTGATGCCCTGGTGGCAGGGGCCATCAGCAACGGCGGCCTGTATGTGAAGCTGGGCCAGGGGCTGTGCTCCTTCAACCACCTGCTGCCCCCTGAGTACATCCGGACCCTGCGTGTGCTGGAGGACAAGGCCCTCACTCGCGGCTTCCGGGAGGTGAGCCCGGGCGGGGACGGGGGCGGGGCTGGTGCTGGTGGAGCTGCTGGTGGAGCCGAGATGGCCAGGCTGCTCCAGCGCCCACCCCTCCAGGTAGACGAGCTGTTCCTCGAGGACTTCCAGGCCCTGCCCCTGGAGCTCTTCCAGGAGTTCGACTACCAGCCGGTGGCAGCTGCCAGCCTTGCACAGGTGCACCGAGCCACCCTGCGGGACGGCACTGTCGTGGCCGTGAAGGTACAGTACATCGACCTGCGCGACCGCTTCGCTGCCGACGTGCGCACGCTGGAGCTCCTGCTGCGCCTCGTGGAGCTCATGCACCCCAGCTTCGGCTTCAGCTGGGTCCTGCAGGTAAGCCCTGGGCGGCGGGAGGCTGTGGGCGGCCAGGCCTCAGTCTGACCAGCTGTGCTGTGGCCTCCAGGACCTGAAGGGGACCCTGGCACAGGAGCTGGACTTCGAGAACGAGGGCCGCAATGCAGAGCGCTGTGCGCGGGAGCTGGAGCATTTCCGCTTCGTCGTGGTTCCCCGCGTGCACTGGGACAAGTCCAGCAAGGTGAGTGGCGGCCCCTCGGGTGGGTGCAGCTGCTGCCATCCCTGCTGACCCCGCCCACTGCCTGCCTCTTGGTCCTTCCCAGCGCGTGCTGACCGCCGACTTCTGCGAGGGCTGCAAGGTCAACGACCTGGAGGCCATCCGGAGCCAGGGGCTGGCGCAGCGGGATGTGAGTGCCCTCCGGGGGGTTGGGCGGGCCGGGGGTGGGGGAGCAGGCGCAGGAGCTGCCCGCTCACTCATCCCGCTTCCCAGGTAGCCGAGAAGCTGGTCCGCACTTTCGCAGAGCAGATATTCTACACTGGCTTCATCCACTCTGATCCCCACCCCGGCAATGGTAAGGGTGTCCCCAGGGCAGGGGAGGGCCACAGGTGTGTGACAGTGCCAGGCAGGGCCATGTGCTGTGTCCCCAGTGCTGGTGCGGAAAGGCCTGGACGGGGAGGCAGAGCTGGTGCTGCTGGACCACGGGCTCTACCAGTTCTTGGACAAGAAGTAAGCCCTGGGGCTCCCTGGGTAGGCCTCTGCCTGAGGCCCTGGGCTCACTCTGGACCCTGGTGACCCACAGGGACCGGTCAGCCTTGTGCCAGCTGTGGCGGGCCATCATCCTGCGGGACGATGCGGCAATGAAGGCACACGCGGCAGCCCTGGGGGTGCGAGGTGAGGGCGCAGGGCAGAGGTGTGGGGGTGGGTGTGCCATGGCGATGGGGGTGCGAGGAGGGCAGGAGCCAGCTGAGGCCGCCCCTCCGCAGACTACCTGCTGTTCTCCGAGGTGCTCATGCAGCGGCCGGTGCGGCTGGGGGGGGAAAAAAACTCCGCAGACTCCCTGCTGTTCTCCGAGGGGCTCATGCAGCGGCCGGTGCGGCTGGGGCGGCTGTGGGGCTCCCGCCTGCTGAGCCGAGAGGAGGTGGCCTACATGCAGGACATGGCCCGCGAGCACTTCGCCCGCGTCATGGACGTGCTCAAGGCCCTGCCGCGGCCCATGCTGCTCGTGCTGCGCAACCTCAACACCGTGCGTGCCGTCAACGCGGCCCTTGGCACGCCAGTCGACCGCTACTCCCTGATGGCCAAGAGGTGGGTGGGTGCCCATGGGTGCTCGGGGCAGGCGGGTGGTGGGCAGCAGGCTGGGCTGAGCCACCTCTGTCCTGCAGTGCGGTCAGAGCCCGGAGCCGCCTGCAGGGTGCCGACAGCAGCAGCCTTTGGCACATCAGGGCCGGCTGGGAGGTGCTCAGGTTCGAGGTGGCCTTGAGGTAAGCAGCCCTGGGCAGAGCTGGCGGGGTGGCGGGCCTACATGCCCGCGACTGGCCCTGCCTTCCACAGGCTGCAGGTCCTGGTGATGCGACTCACTGCTCTCCTGGTGCGCGCCCTGGCCCACTTGGGGCTCCTGCCCCATGCAGAGGAGTTCCAGCAGTACCTGGAGGCCTAGGCCACCTGGCCAGCAGCACACCACCTCCGTGGAAGGAGCCAGCCAGAGCCTGCCCACAGGTGCTCCAGATCCAGGAGCACTGGAGAACTGGCCTGAATGGGGGACCGCTGAGGGCCAGGAGACTATGCAATCACCACACACTTGTCTCAAACAAATCTTTCTCTTGTATTTTGTACAAAAGGGGTGGGAGGCAGCGGGGTGAGGGCAGTGATGGGGCAGCAGCAGTCTCCGGGGCTTTAGAAGTGGGCAGTGACACGGTCTGTCTCCAGCAAGTCGTCCAGGATCTGTGGAGGGACGGGTGAGGTGAAGTGGGGAGGTCCGTGGCGGGCGGGGAAGCGCGGGGTGGGGCGGGGCAAGCCACACGCACGATGTCTGGCGTCGTGCCGATCTTCTTGGCCAGCTCGCTGCGCTCCATAGTGCTGAGGTACAGGTAGCGGCTGAGCAGCTCGCCGTCCAGGACGTTGCGCACGGCGTTCTGCAGGGTGCGCCTGTCCACGTGCAGCATTCTGCGGGCAGCTGAGAGTCAGGGCGGAGCTGCCGGGATGGGCCGAGGCGGGGCGCGGCACTCACCTGAAGGCGCGTGGGTTGAGGCCGGCGTGGTGGGGCAGCATAGTGGTGAGGGCGTTCTGTAGCATCAGCAGCCGCCGGTAGGTCTTCTCCTGCATGGGCAGCAGCAGCCCGATGCCGCCGTCCAGCGTGGCTGTGGGGGGTAGGAGTGAGCCACTGGACTGGCCACGCCCCTGCTGACCACGCCCCTGCTGACCACGCCCCTCGCTCACCGAACCATGTGATGTGCTTGTTCTCCCACACCACGGACTTCTTGCTGGGCCCCTCCACGGCACCCCTGCATGGGGTCCTCCAGAAGGTGTTGACATGGGCCCCCAAGTGGAAGTCTGCTCTGCGCAGCAGGAGCAGGCCCCCGAAACTCTCCTTGGCTGGGCAGAGGGACTGGGTCACACCTGCCCGGCCCGCCCGGGTGGGGGAGAGGGGCATAGCACTCACCTTCAGGGAGGTACATGTACACCATGAGGTTGCGGTCGCGGTCGGACACTGAGGAGCACAGGCGTCAGGACGGCCTCACCTCCGCGCCCTCCCGCCTCCGGCCTCAGCCCCAAGGCCTGCCGCTCGCTGGCCTGCTCACCCAGAAAGCCCAGCTGGGCGTTGTCCACCATGAAGTCCACACTGTATACCTCCAGGGGCTTGGCGTCCTGGGGACAAGGGGAGGCGGTCAGCAGTGCTGCGGCCAGAGCCCCCACCCTGCCACCCAGCCGGCCCAGCCTGGGTACCCGGGACACCAGGCTCAGCGTCTTGCTCTCCTCCTGGTACCGCAGCAGCGAGATGCTCTTCATGACGTCGGCTGCCAGGATGAAGTTCTTGACGCTGATCATCTGGTGGATGTACAGCTGGGTGTCGATGAAGGCCATCCCGGTCAGCTCGCTGGCCCGCAGGCTCCACAGGAAGATCTGGGGGGAAGGAGGGTCAGGCAGGGCCGATGCTGGCAGAGGGCTGGCAGGGCGCCGACAGGACACACCTTCTGGCCGATGGCCGACACCAGGTGGCCATTGCAGTGACACAGGGCGGTCACAGGCCCCTTCTGCTCCTTCTCGTAGAGGACCTTGAACTTGTTCTTAGTGAGGGGCTGGCCGGGCTCCGGCACCACCTCGATCACATCCATGATGAGGATCTGGCCGGGAGGAGAGGGGAGGAGATGGCAGAGGGGCCATGCGATGGCAGAGCTGCCCGCCCCTCCCCTAGTGCCTTACCCGCCCACGGCAGGTGACCTCCTCCCCCTGCATGAGGCAGGTCCCTGCAGCTACGTAGCCCTTGAGGCCCGACACGGTCTCCTCACTACGCAGTGACACGGTCTTCATGCATGTCACGTGTTCCCACTCCTCCAGTTCAATCCTGCAGAGAAGGGCAGGGTCAGGGCGGAACCAGGCTTGGCACTGGGCAGCAGGCCCTGGGCCTGGCCTCACCTGGCGTTGGGGATGGCCTCCCAGCTGACCGGGGAGATGAGCTGGATGGAGAAGGCCTCCTGCTGGGGGTGGATGTACCGGTCATCTGCAGAAGAAGCGTGACGGTCACGGAAGGTGGCCCCAGCACGGGGCACAGGTGGGGCGGCACACACCTCTCTCGATGGTCTCAAACTCTTTCTCCTCGCCCGTCATGCGTGGGATGCGGGTGCATGGCGCGTTGGTGCTGGTGGCAACCGCGTACACCTGTGGGTAGCAGAGGTCAGACTGGGCCAGCCAGGTGTGTCCTGGGCGTGTCCCGGGTATGTCTGGGGCGGGGCGGACCTTGGACTCCACATGGTAAGCCACATAGTGGGCGGTGCAGCGCAGAGGGATCTTCCTGACAGGCCACGGGGCATCGTAGGACAAGTAGGCGGGCAGGACGCTGATCCGCAGCTCACCCTGGGGGCGGGGCGGGGCGGGGGCAGGCGCAGGCTCAGCAGTGGAGGCCCCCACTCCCTGCGGCGCCGCAGCTAGGATGCCCAGAGCCCTAGCTCCTGACAAGCAGCTGCACTGCTCTCCCAGGCTCACCCAGGGTCCAGGAGGCTCCAGGCAAAGGGCCGCCTGCAGGCTGGCCATGCGGGGGCTGCAGGGAGGGCAAAAGCAGCCTAAGCCCTTCCTGGGCCTGCGCTGCCCACTGTTCCCCAGGTCTGAGTCCATCAATACCTAGAAAGTACTGGCCTCATCGCAGCTGTGGGGTAACTCACGTGCTCACTGTGGACGTCTTGGTGGCACCGTGAAGGAAACTGAGGCTCGGAGGCGTGTACCCCCCCCTGTCACTTGTGATCAAAGGCTCCTGAGGACAGGCCCGCCGGGAGTAAACTCGCCTCTCCGTCCCCCAGGCCTGCCCCGCAAGCCCCAGGCAGGTCCCCACCAGTCTCTAGATGTTCCTCCGAGGCCTCTGGGGTGGGGACTAAGGCCTCTCCTGTCCTGGCGCTGGGTCACGCCTTCCTACCTGTCTGTTGAAGTACAGGAAGCCCCGGGGGCAGTTGACATTGTGGAATGGGGCAAAGGAGTCGATGGGGCCGTCAATGCCCATGGGGTGCAGCCGCAGTGCCCCCCGGCCAGTCACCAAGAGCCAGTGGGGTGAGGGCCCACAGATGAACACCTGGAGGACAGCACTGTGAGGGCCAGAGGCGGGCTGGCTCCCTCCCCGGCGGAACGGCAGAGCACCCACCTACCCCTGAGTAGCCATAAATGTCCTCAAAGTAGCGGAAACGAGCCACACGGCCCCGGGCCCCGGCCCCCTCTTCGGTGCTTCCACCCTCCGCCTTCTTCTTTGATGGTTTCAGTTTCTTCTCACGGAAATTGATGTTGTGGGGAACCTGGGGGACACCAAGGTGGCCACGTCCTGTGGAGGCCCCACCAGACGGCCCCCTGCCCCCAGCAGGCCTGGCCGCCGCACCTTCTTGAAGCGGACTTTGAGGTTGCCCTGGCCGAGTTGTGAGTCGTGGGGAAAGGCCTCGTAGAGGAGCAGCTCCTGGTCCACGTGCACCTGGTACCCAGCGGGGCAGGCGTCAGGGGAGCCTGGCCCCGCTCACGCCCACGCCCACCCCCACCAGCACTCACCAGCAGGTAGGGCCTGCTCTGCCGGCTCCCCAGTGCCACCAACAGCACCTCCTTGACAAGGGGCAGCTCCCCTTGGCGCGTGGCCTCCTCCTTGCGGGCCTCAGCCTGTGTGGCTGGCTGTCCAAAGGAGCTGTCCACCAGGACCCGCTGCCCCACGGGGAAGTTCTTCACCAGGAACACCAGTCGCCAGTCGGGCAGCTGGTACATCTGCAAGGGGCAGTGGTCAGTGCGGTGCGGACATGGGGCACAGGTGCCAGCTGGCCGTGTGCAGGGCACCGCCTACCTCCATGGTTCCGTTCTCCCGCACCAGCAGGCACCAGTGGGTAGGTTCTGCTCGGAAGGGTGCAGGGTCCCGGTCAGCCGGGGGCTGGCTGCTCCTCCGGGTCTCCTCCTTGCTGGGGCTGAAGAGGGAGCCCGAGTCCCCGTACAGCATCTCCTCCTCATCATCCACCGTGGGGCTGCGGGGCGGCACGTCAGGGCCCTCTCTACACACCCCCACTCGGCACCTGGTCTCTGCAGCCCCGCCTCGCCCAAGGTCCAAGCCCAGGCCCCCACCCCTGTGCACCTGGTCTCTGCACCCAGGCCCTCCACCTCGCAGCTGCCACGGGCCCCCGGCTCATCGCGGGCCCCTCCTAGGCGGCTCTCAGTGGTGAACATCCCACTGACGTCACGGTACAGGCAGAGCGTGATCACCTTGGACTGCTGCAGAGGGAGAGGAGGGCTTAGCGCAGGCCACAGAGTGACGGGCACTGGGAAGGGAGACACCTACATGATGTAGGGGGGGCTTGTGCAGTGCCAGGCGATGGTGGCGGCCACCGTACGTGTCACTCTTGAGGAGGAACATGGTGACGTGGCCTTCGGCACTCATGATGACCACATAGGGGTCAGCCACAGCACACTGCACAATGGGCGCTCCCAGGTCCACCGGGATGAAATGCAGCTGGTTTACTGTGGGCAAAGGATAGTTAGCAACGCCAGGCCCTGCCTTCCAGAGCCGGGTCCGCCCAGGCCCCGCCTCTCCACATCTGCCCTCTGCCCAGGCCATGCCCCAGGCCCCGCCTCTCCAAGCCGCCTCCTTCCACTCCCCCTCCCCACCTCACCTCCTTCCAGTAGGCGGATACCCAATGGGGACACTTGGACAATATACCGGTTGTCCCCAATGTTCCCCGCGAAGACAGTGGGGCCCTGGGTGGCAAAGCCACTGGTATCCAGCTCCATGATCTCCTGCCCGGTCTGCAAGATCTGTGGACGCCACACAGTGGTGAGGGCGCCCTCAGCAGGCCCCGTGGGGTCCCCAGCCCCAGGCCCAGCCTCACCATGGTCGAGTCCTCCCGGCTCAGAATGAGGAACCCATGTCTGCGCACGCCATCCTCTGCCTCGGCAGCCCTGGGCTGCTCTGTGCCTTCTGCCTTGGGGGTCTCCTCCTGGGGAGCCGAGGGGAAGCAAGGCCAGAGACCACCATGCATGAAGGGCACACAGGGCATGGGGCAACAGTCCCGCCTCCCAGCCCTCGTCCCTGGGGCGATACATACCTCGTCCTTACGCACAGGGGCGATGACTGTCCACATGTCATAGCAGCCAGGAAGTTCAAAGGTCGTCACGACCTGGGGCCGGATGCTCTTCTGGAATGCCGTCAGGTGGGCGTGGGTCAGCTAGCCCAGGCTCAGGCCCACCCCCCTCCCCTACACACACCTGCAGGACCGACAGGGCGCCATTCTTCCCGTAGCCAGAGCACACCACGATCTCCAGGTCTGGCTCAGGGCTGTTCTGGAACTGCACAGGGGCTGGCGTGAGGCCCGTCCTCCGTCCCCACCCCTCCGCCTGGCCGATGAGCCCATACTCTGCCACCCCAGTGCCCACCTCTTCCGAGAGGAAGGCCGGCTCGCCCATGGCTGCATTGGCACAGGGTCCGATGTTGAGGATGCTGTCACACACCTGCCAGCACACCAGCATTGGGTCAGTCCCGCCAGGTGTGGGGCGGGCACCCCTGCAGGCCCAAACCCACCTCAAAGGAGTAGGTGGCCAGCTGCGTGCCCGACTGGGCCTCGCTGCCATACACTTCGATCTCGTCCACCTCATCCTGCGGCACCGTCGAGCTCCCTGCAGGCCACA